TTGGGCACTTAACCACTGTTCACTAGGGCTCCTTAGTTGAAGAGAGGAACATGAATTAATACTAGTTTCTTTTTTTAATGAATTGTTAATTAGCCAGAATATAGATACTATCTTGAATGTGCAGATCTTTTGATGAATATAAATACAAAAAGATGGAAAATTGAAAAGTTTGCATTGACAATTGTTGTTGTTATGTGCTGTCAAGTCAGACCCAGCTCATAGCAACCCCTCATTGGGTTTCCGAGGCGATATCACTATGGGAGTAGATGGTCCAATCTTCTCTCCGAGGAGTGGCTGGTGGGTTTGAACCATCAGCCTTCTGATTAGCAATCAAGTGCCTTAGGCACTACTACACTTGACAGTTGTTGTTGTTATTGTTGTTATGTGCCATCGAGTCGGACCTGACTCTAGCCACCCCTCCTTGGGTTGCCGAGGAGGTATCATTACGAAAGTAGATTGCCCAACCTTCCTTCCGAGGAGTGGCTGGTGAGTTTGAACTTCCAGCCTTCTGGTTAGCAATCAAGTGCTTTAGGCACTATGCTACCAGAGCTTCCCACTTGACAGTAGCATACATAAATTATTTTTAAATAAAACTTATATTAGATATGAGTGTTCATATACTATTTAACCAACTACATGATCAGGGAACTACATGACCAGGTACCTGGTCTCTGCTGGTGGCATAGTGCCTAAAGCATTTGACTGCTAACCAGAAGGCTGGCGGTTCAAACCCACCAGCCACTCCTGGGAAGGAAATTGGGTGATCTACTTCTGTAGTGATACCACTTCAGAAACCCAAGGAGGGGTTACCATGATTCGGATCGGATTTGAGGGCAGTGAGTTTTTTTTTTTTTTTTGGTTGGTCTCTGCAGTGTGGTATCATTGAAACCTGATGAAGAGTGTGGGCCTGGATCCTTGTCTTGGGCATCCAAGAAAGCCATCTGCTCACAGCTACGAGAGGAATGAGGAATGTAGCAGAAGTCATGACTTCCGTTTGAACTTCCGGGCCCTACATGTATCTCATGCATCCAGGCAGTCCTGAAAATAGTGAGTCACAGAGATGCCTGACTCAGGGAATGAGAAAACAGCCGTTTCCCCAACAAGGAAGAGTTCATTGCAACCAAACCTCTGCACCTGCAGGATTCCCCTTTCCACTGCCAAGAGGGAGAATGTTATAGGAGACTGTGGTCAGTTGGCCCTAAGGAGAGCATGGGGGAGGGGTGGTTCTTGAGGTTGGGGACAGACAGATGCAATTGCAGCATTTGCAGTTTGTGACCTAGGGTTCCTGCTGGGCCATCTGTATGGATTTTTTGGCTAAAATGTTCAGCCAAATTCTTCAGTAGTAGGAGATTATATCTGGGATGCTCTCTTGGGACCATGGAGCAGCCCAGGCCAAAGGAGTAGAATGACTTCCTGCCTGGACCTTCAGAGGCTTCTGAAACTTCCTATATCAGAGGACAGAGTAGGAAGTGTGCCCCACCCATTTATTCTCCTCCCCTGATTCAAAGGGCTGAGAACTCTGGAAGGAGGTCATGTTCCATCTTTCTAGCAGAGTCAGGCAGCTGTGTAACCAAGGCCAGAGTCAAGTCCTACCTCAGCCTCCTATAAGCTTTGTAAAATTGAGCAAGTCCTTAAACCCCTCTGAGATCTAATTTCCCCACCACTTAAATGGACATAATAATAATGCCTAGCCCATGTCCTGGAAGATGCCAGTATGACCATCCAAAGCAGACAATTAGAAAATGGACCCAAAACAATTAGGAAATTAAAACAGTGCTTTATAATTATAATTGGTGGTGACTATGGTAGTGTAGTGCCTAAGGCACTTGGCTGCTAACCAGAAGACTGGCGGTTCAAACCCACCAGCCACTTCTCAGAATGAAGGTTGGGCAATCTACTTCCATAGTGATACTGCCTCAGAAACCCAAGGAGGGATCGCTATGAATCAGGTCTGACTCAAGGGCACATAACAACAACAACATGGTAAGTGTCTGGGGCAAAGGGCTTCTTGCACTCCCCATCCACCTCTAGATTCTTGGCACCAACACCATAAAGGCAGTAATGGGGGAGAGCTGGTCTCGGCACCCTTTTTAGGAATTCCTCCAGAAAGATAACTAGAACATGAACTTCACGGGGAGGGGGAGGGCTTCCCCAGACACAGGGAGTGTGCAGAAACAGGGAGAGATTACCCCTGAGCTGGTGAGCTTCTGCCACTGGCTGAGCCTCTCTCGAAATCGCCTCATCAATCTATCATCCTGTTAGCAGCTGACACCTCTGGTAGCACCTCCCAACCGTCTGAGCATTAGAATTGCAAGAATCCTGGCTGCACTGGGGAATACAGATGGAGGAATCTCAGATTCAAATTTGTCTAAGTATTGTGAACAACCAGACCCTTGCAAGGCGTCTCCACTGCCCTCTGCCAAAGGGGAGTGGCAGGGGTTTTGTTAGAAGTACAAATTGCTTCTTAATGCAGAGGATAAAGCTGGGCTTGGGCACCTCCTTAGAAATTCCTCCCGCTCCCAGGAAAGCCACCGCTGCATGTCAATTTTAATTTTTGAAATTTAAACCGAGGGCTTTGTGTCTAAGCTCCATCTCATCAGAGGAAGGGGAGGAATAAGTCAAAAAGGATTAGGGGCTCTCTGGGGATTGCAGATCCATAGCAATTAGACTTCATTTGGGTCTTAGATATTTGGTTTTAATCTCATTTCTGAATGATACAATCAACAAGAATCAGAAATTGATACGTATGCAAGTATAGGTGGGCCCCTACTCTGATTGCCACCCCACCCCCCACCCCCGTTCCTGGGCCCAGCTGGGTTTGGAATTCACAATTAGCGTGGGGGACGGGAAGGACTTTGAGGTTCTGTTTGGGTCTGGAATTGTGTGTGTGTGTGTGTGTGTGTGTGTGTATTTTTCCCCACCCCAGCTCTCTTTCAATATTTTACTCCTGGACTCAAAGCAGAAGCAATCATTGCCTGTATTCAAATGAATGACAACAAAACATTATTTAAATAAAAGAAGAGCACAAAGAAGAGCAGTGACAGGACTCCAGGCAGGGGGCCTAATTGTCTTTTTAATGTGAAGCACAGCTTTCCACATCCTCAGAGAACCAAAGTTGAGCCAAATGCTATTTGAGCAGCAGATATGCAGACTGGAAGAGCTCTAGTGGTGCAGTGGTTAAAGCAATTGGCTGCTAACCGAAAGGTCAACAATTCAAACCCACCAGCCACTCCATGGCAGAAAAATGAGGCAGTTTGCTTCCCAAAAGATTCACAGCCTTGAAAGTCCTGTGGCACAGTTCTACTGGGTTCTATAGGGTCACTATGAAATTAACTGATGGCAGTGGGTTTGGCTTTTTGATTTATGCAGACTGGAGCACAGTCACATACAAAACTGACATGGACTTAGGCATACATATATTTATGTATGTGTGTAACATGAGTTGTGTGATGATAGCTACATTCTGACCATATAGATGTATGTACATGTATGTCCAGCTTTGTACAGGTATGCATACTCTGTGCATACTATGGCATGCCTCTTCAAACAACTGGTCAGTCAAAATGAACTCAGTAAGCACTAACAGGTTGCTAAGTGGTTATTTTGTAGATAACTTATTGTTATGAGGACTCCAAAATCTATCAACAACTAAAAACAGTAAAAAGCAGAAAATCAAAACCATGTGAAGTGTTTTCCTAATGTGCATGTGCAGGATAGCAAAAGTGAAGGGAGGAGCCCAAACTAGCACATTTGGGTTCAAAACAGGACCCCAGACCTTGTGAAAGGGGAAGGGGTGACCCTAAAAAAAAAGTCCTTCCTCTAGGGATGGTACCTGTCTCATTACCCAATTTGAGGTCCATCAAGAAAACCAGAAGATCCACAAGCTTGCCTCTTGAGAGATGTGGACCCAGCTGATGCGGGAATAAGTAGGCATGTGGTAAGTGTGTCCTGTGCCTCAATGAGTGTGTCCTTGAGGGATTTCTGCGCTTCTTTTTGAGAGCAAACATCTCCAAGAGTTCTCCCTCCCCTAGTGATGCCAAGAGCCTCCCATTGTGAAGACCTGCTCCTCTCCTCCTTCCTTCCCCAGAAACTCCTCCCCTCCAACTCTTCCCTCAGCTTTGAGGAAAAAGTTCCTTAAGCTGCCAGAGGCTGGAAATCTGACCATTTCTCTACCATCATCTTCTAACTCCCCTCCTCCAAGACCCTCCATAGTACCCTTTAGTTCAAGGCTGCAGCACAAGGGAGAACCTCCCTAAAGGGTGGGATGCTGCCTCCCCGTCTCTTCACCCATCCCAAGTAGCCAGTGGCTAGCCAATGGGGGCACAGACGGGGCTATTCTAGATCCACTTAGGGTCTTTACGCCAAGGTGGACATCTGGTGTCCTGGTCCAATGGCCACGCTGACAGAGACTTCAGAGCCCAGGTTTAAAAACATCATTTAATGCAGCTGATGGGGCTGAGTTGCAAGTGCAGTGTGGAGAAGTGAATTTTCCTTTGCTGGGATTCTGCTGCGGGTGGGTTTTTGGCAGATGGACAGGGAAATTCACACAAGTATTTCAGGTCATAAAGAAGGACACCCCAGGGAGCCCGTGCTTGCTTTGGCCTCCCTCACTTGCCAGGGCACAGAGCCCGAGGCCTCATCGGCACAGAAGAGGACCTCAAGAGGGCAGGTGGCCAGCCCAGCCTGTACTGTCCAATCATTTCTGAAAAGTCTGCATCGCTGCCCCAGGGACTCAGGTTCATGCTCAGCTTGCCATTTGGGCGTTCTGGTCTCTCTCCCTGGGTTGGAGACGGGGCGGGGTTGGGGGCACAGCTCAGAGAGCAGTGAGTCGCAGATACCCGGTGTCCAGGGGCGGGGCAGGGAGGACAAGTAGGGATGTGTCTTTTTCAACGGAGATGTCAGGAAGTGTTATGAAGTGAGAGTAGCCCTCGCCAAAAAGCCGGACGCCCCAGAGCGTATAGGGCGGCCTGGAACCACCAGCTTTCGCGTTTCCCGCGCCTCTAGTCCGGGTACAGAAGAAAGCCCGAAAAGGTGCTGTACTTGTTGTTGTTTCCTCCGTGCGCCTTCCCGCCGTCCAGCTTCACATACACCTCATCTCCTGAGTCGAGGTGCAGCACCACGCTGTTGCTGGCGTAGTCATAGTTTTGGTCCGCGTCCTGCGCGATGGCGCTGGCTCGTACCTGAGTGTGAATCACCGGAGCCAGTGGGCTGAGGCACCTCTGCGTATACCCTTGCCCAGATCTGACTTGGCGCACCCCTGGACGGCCTTCTGCCCTTGGCTCCCAGATCGACGCTCTTTCCCACCCTTGCTCCACCCTCTATCCAACTTAACCAACTCCTACCCCGCTCCCTCCTCTCCGCAGCCCGCGAGCCCGGGAGCTGGATAAGGGGCCATTCTTGTACACTGACCCAACAGCTAAGGGCGGGAACCAGGGCGCAGAGGAAAGATGGCTAGGGGAAAAAGCGGAGACCTGAGCGTACAGGGGATGCTAAAAAAGAGTGAAGTCTCCGAACAGACCACGGCTGGTCTTGAGGTTGCAGGCAGGTAGGAGGACAGTGCAAGTGTGAAATTTGGAAGGCTGGGAACCTGGGCGCTCCGGGTCCAGCCTCCAGCGCTACTTTCCCTTGAGTGCTTCCAGGACGCAGGGGAGGAGGGTTGCTGTGGCACAGCAGCGCGCTCGCTACAGGCGCCAACTCGAGCGCTCGCGGGTAGGAAGAAAGGAGGCTGGGTTCCAGGAAGAGGTTCACCGCGTGGGGTAGGGGAGAGGGTCTGCGGTACCCGCGGGGATAGAGGGCACTGACCTGTCCGTTCTTGCAGAGATCCGCCCACATACTGGTGCCGTCGCCTCCACGCATGAGAATGTGGTAGGTGAAGAAGTAGATACCGCGCACCTGGCAGCTAAACTTGCCTGTAGTGGGGTCATAGTGATTGCCGAGATTGGTGACCACGTCGTCGAACTTGAGGACCTCGTAGCCTTCGTGCGGGCTCTTGAGACCAACGTAGAAGGCGATCTTTGGGCCGCTAAAAGCGGCGCTCAGCGCGCTAGTCACCTCGCTCTCCGAGTCGCCGCCGCCCCCGGCACCGCCGCCCGCCACCCCGACGCCGCCCGCCGTGCCCGCAGTCAGCTGCAGCCCCGGTAGCCCTGGCCGCCCCGAGTCGCCCTTCTCTCCCGGGGGACCCCTGGGTCCAGGGGGCCCCGGTTCTCCAGGGGGCCCCCTTGGTCCTGGCTTGCCCGGTCGCCCCGGGTCGCCCTTAGGTCCCTGGATGAAGGGGGGAGGAGGGTTGGCGCTGAGGTCTTGCATGACTTCCAGGGCCGCGGTGCTGGGTCCGGGCGGCGGTGCCTTGGCTCCCGCAGGCCCCCCGCCGGGTGCGGCTGTGTACGGGTCGCAGATCATGCGGCAGGTACCCATCATCTCGTAGTGCGCGGCACCGGGAGGCGCTGCCTGCAGCAACAGCGGCACGGCGATGAGCAGCCCGAGCGCCATAGCCAGGAGCACTCCGACGGCCGCCAGGCAGGCGCGCCGCCGCCGCTGCCACAACCTGGAGGCGACCACCACCAGCTCCTCCTTGCCGCCTGGAGAGGTAATGTTGGGGCGGCGCGGGCGGCCCCGCTCCCCACGCTCGGGAATCGATGCCACGGGTCCCGGCCGCGCCCCCGACGTGGCGATCCCCAGCCCCGGTCCCCTAGCTACTTCAGCGAGTGGCGCCCCGGCCCAGGCTCCAGTGTCCGCCGTGCTGGGACTGCTTCAGAAAGCCACAGAGCCTAGCGCGCATGGCCGAGGGCACGCAGGACTGGCCTGGCGCCCCACGGGTCCAGGAGGCAGCGGCCAGGGATTTGGTCCCGGTGCGGCGTCGGACTGGAACACCACTGCACTCGCCTTCTGTCCTCCGGCCTCGGCGGGATTTGGCGGGGCTCCGCGTGTCTCAGGGCGCAGTGAGGGCGCCTAGCTCCGCAGCACGCTCTGCTCTGCTCTTCCCGGCTGGTCGCTGGCTTCAGCGCGGAGGGGGGACCCAGCTACCCTGACGTAAGGAGTCCGGGGCTGAGCGGCGGAGGCGGCGAGGCAGCGCGCGCTGCCATCACTCGGGAGACGGCGCCCTCCTGTCATCAGCCTGCTTTCCTCCTCCTACCGGGCGGCGTCCCCAGCAGAGGCGGCAAAGGCCCAGTTCCGCCTGGCGGCGCCACAGAGCCACAAGTGGGCGCCGCGGGCGCAGCCTCAGCCCCGGGCCCCTCAAAAATACCCACTTGCGACCACATACAAGCGTTTCCCACAGACCACACACTAGCATCCACACGCACTCCTGGGGCGCACGAGAACTTCCACATGGCCATGAAAGCACCGGAATCCTGGTGCCAGCAAGGTCCTTCAAAGGTCACCTAGTTCACCCCTTACCTGCTAACACGACCAGATTACCCTCTGAGTCAGGGGAACTGCTGAATTTTGTGAGGCATTCCAGGAACGGACTTTCTCAACGCCTTCTCAGATCTTGCTTCTGGAAAGTCTTTCACACATGGATCCCGAAGACTCCAAGCTGTTAAGTAGGTGCCTACAGACTGGCAACTCTCTGAAAAAGTTCAAAGCTCCAAAACCAAGAGTTTATTAACCTTAGCGCTTTCTTCCACCCAGAAAATGATTGGCCCTTTTTTCCCCTGTATAAAATTCATTTAGAAATACTGAGCCTCCACTCAGAGCCCAGTCCCTACCAGGCAAATCCATGGGCACATCCCCTTGAACAGCTCCAGCTCCCTCTCCCGAGGTGAGTTTAGTTGTTTTGTTTGTTTTTTAAGTAATAATAATAGCCCAAAGCCATTCTGAGCAAAATCTTGAATAAGCTGGGGCAACAGACTAGGAGAATTGTCCATCTCAAAGCAGCATATGAGGAAAGAGGAAAGATGAGAGAAGACTAGTGTGTTGAAAAGGTCTATAGAAATTAAAAGCCCTGCCTTCTGATTCTAGGTCCCTATATGGTGCAAATGGTTTGCCCTCAACTACTAACTTAAAGTTCAAACCCACCCAGGGATTCCGTAGAAGAAAGGCCTGGCAATCTGCTTCCTTAAAAATTACAGCAAGAAAATCACATAGAGCAGTTCTAGTCTCTAACACATGGAGGTCTCTTTGAGTCAGAATCAACTCAATGGTAACAAGAGTTTTTATCCTTTCCCTGAGCAGCTGTGGGACTTTGAACAGGGCCGTTCCCTTCTCAGAGATTTGGTTTTCCTCCATAAATGAGTGGGTTAAGCTAAGTAAACTAAAAGGCCAGCTCCTGCTTCGGCACTCCCCCATGTTGGGGAGGCACCAGACCTGAGGTGGAGGAGTACAAGGGCTGATATAGGGTTTTACAGAGCATCAGCATCATCTTTGGGATAACTCTGAGTCCTCCTAAAGCTATTGCTTTGAGAGAACGTTCACTTAGCAGGCATTTATGTTCTCCTGGGTAGTTAAAATCTGTTTTGTTTTCCTCTGGTCACTTTAGAACATTCCCCCACCCTATCCCCATTGCTCCAGCTTTTTGCTTCATCTTTGCATTTTCCAAGGCATAACATAACTGAAGATCTGACACATGGAAGTACCTATTTGTGGAAAGAATGACTGAGCCTAGTCTGAAGCAACTTTACTTAGAAGAGAAAGGAGAGAAGGAATTCATCTTTGGGGAGCTCTGGTGGCATAGTGCTTAAGGCATTTGACTGGTAACCAGCAGGCTGGTGGTTCAAACCCACCAGCCACTCCTCGGAAGGAAGGTTGGGCAATCTATTTCAGTAGTGATATTGCCTTGGACACCCGAGGAGGGATCACTCGGAAACCCAAGGAGGGGTCGCTATGAGTTGGATCTGACTTGACAGCAGTGAGCTTGGTTTTTTTGTTGGTTTCTAGTGGTATAGTGGTTAAGACCTTTGACTGCTAACCAGAATGTCAGTGGTTCAAACCCACCAGCCACTCCGAGGAAGAAAGATGAGGCAGTCTGCTTCCGTAAAGATTTACAGCCTTAGAAACCCAATGGGGGCTTCTATGTGTTGGATAGTGAGACTATGTATCAAAGACCCCTGATGGTGCAGTAGTTAAATGCTCAAATGCTAAGGAGAAAAAAGGTTGTCAGTTGGGACTCATCAGCTGCTTCTCAGGAGAAAGATGAGGCAGTCTGCTTCTGTAAAGATTTACAGCCTTGGAAGCCCTATGTTGTTGTTATGTTATTGTTATGTGTCATCGGGTCAGACCCGACTCATAGCAACCCCTCCTTGGGTTTCCAAGACAGTATAACTACAGAAGTAGATTGCCCAACCTTCCTTCCGAGGAGTGGCTGATGGGTTTGAACCACCAGCCTTCTGGTTAGCAGTCAAGTGCCTTAGGCACTATGCTACCAGACTCCCTATGGGGCAGTTCTATTCTGTCCTATGGTCATTATGAGTTGGAATCTACTCAGTGGCAGTGTGTTTGGTTTTTCAACAACAACAAATGTACCAGGAACTTTGCATGTGTTCCTGTATTTACTCCCCAGAGCAACCATCATACACATAAGGAAACAAAAGCTTTGAAAGCGTAAGGTGTTTGCCCAGTGTTCTCTGCCCACACAACAGAGCTGGAATCCTCCTCACACCCAGACCAGGGGCTCTGAGAACTTGGCAGTAAGTGCAGCATTGGCATTTAGTTATTTGTCCACATTCCTCATGGTGTCCTGGATCCTGGCATCTCTCCTCTCACTTCCCGAAGGTCACTCTTAAAATGGCCACAGTGATTCCAGGAGCCACACTGCCTAGTGCCAGACCTGGCCCTGCAGCTTCCTGTCTGTGTGACTTTGGGCAATTTACATCACATTTTGATCTTCAGTCTCCATATGCGTAGAATGGGAATGACCAAAATATTTACCTCAAAATTAGTGCAAGGACAAAATGAGTTAATTAATATAAAAGCCTTGGAACAATATCTGGAATGTACTCAATAGCAGATTGGTTGTTACTATTAACTATGGATGCTCTATGATGTTTATGATCATTCAAACGAGACCTCTGGCCAGAAAGCAGGAGGGAGGGAGAGGGGTCATAATAAGAGAGAAAGAGACCTAAAGATCACCCACACATTCTATCCCTCTCTTTCCCATTTCTCCCACATTCTCCCCGCTCCTCACTATGGATTCCTGTGCTCTGCTAAAGGTGGACAGATCACCAGTTCCACCTGGATAATTATTTTTCAGGGAGACACTCACTTAAGGAGACACCCTCTGTAGTTGCTACCTAGAGTTCCTACAGTTTTGCCCTGAAGGATCTGGGCAGGGAAAAGCAAGGAGGGGCAAATGTTTGAAACCCTCACAGAGCTCAGGCAGAGCGAATCTTTCCCAAGGATCACCATTCCTTGGAGCACCTGTGGCCTTCCCGGGAGTGAGGGCTTCCTTTCAAGGCCAGTCCTTCCCCCAGGTGGTAGGGACAGCAGCAGCTAGAGCAAGCAGAGGGAAGGCAGCCTCCCACCAGCAACTGCATGAGTCATAAGGTCCTTCCTTTGCCCTCCCTCCTACAGCAGCAGGGCCAGACAGAGTAGCCTTCTGGAGTGTTTGACACATCTCCTCATCTGCCTGGCTTCTGCTCTCCCTGAGCATCATCAGTGACTATCTGCTCATCAATATTAATTATGATCGTTATTAGCATGTTGTCTTCCATTGAGATCCTGTTTCCACATTTCAAGTCCCAGTCAAATCTCCAGTCAGCCCTAAATTACTCTTAGTAATCTAGCCTGCATTCCTTTTTCCAACATCCATTGACCACCTACTATGTGCCAAATGGTTACTCCCCCTTCTCAACTCACAAAGCCTTTATGATCTGTGAAATATAGTTGGATCACATACAGTCTTGTCTGGTTCACTAATGTCCTCTCACCAGCAGCAATGTGCCCCACCCTTCCTTCATCTGCACTAGAGTTTCTTCAACCTGGAATCCCTGTCCCTCTGCTCATCTCTCTGGGCTCATTCCTATTATCCTCAAGTGTTACCCATGAAATGTCAACTCCTTATCTGACCCCTTCCCAAGCACAGTTGACAATTCTTGCACATATACACCTCTATTGTTACCTGCAGTAGAATAAGCTCCCAACTCATGGTGACCCCACACACAAGGAAATGAAACACTGCCCAGTCCTGTGCCATGCCCGTGATTCATTGTGGATTGGACCATTGTGATCCATAGAGCTTTTGTTGGCTGATTTTCAGAAATAGGTAACCAGGCCTTTCTTCTAATCTGTCTAGCCTGCATTCCTTTTATCAATGTCTGGAAGCTCCACTGAAACCAGTTCATCATCACAGCAACATTCAAGCCTTCACTGACAGACAAGTTTAGCTGTGCATGAGTTGCACAGTAATCAAATCCAGTTCAACCATATGGAAGGCAAGGATGCTACCCACACTACCCTCCCTTGCCTATACTTCCTTCATATATCCATCCCAGCTCCTCAGCTTTTCACATGTGTTTATTGAGTGATAACTTTGAAAGAAAAGTAAGAGAAAT